CTCCTGCACCAGATCTTTGCGCTTTTATCCCGTGGTTTGAGTGTTCTCCATTCTAAAGGACTTCTTGAAAAATATCGCAACATTCAGTTAAACGAATCATTCGCTACAAACTTACACTTTCGTTTGATTTTCATTAGATTTGAAAATATACACAATTCATTCTTGTCCACGTTGTCATTTGATCTTGGTTCATTTTTGCCATCACGCTTTCTCTGCCTAAACTAATTTTGCCCTCAGTTCGGGTGCGTGGCGGCAGGTCTCGACGCGGCGCCCACCCTCCGACGGTCGGACTCTTTGACCAAATCCGAGAAAACCGAAAACAATTTGAAGGAAAAATCCGAAAAACGTAACCGGGATTTCAAACGAAGTGATAGCTTCGAGAAGAAATCCCGAGACGCGAGGCTACAGCAGCAACAGTCGGAGTATCTGCGTCACCTGAAGAGCGAGCAGCTGAAGACGGACAGCGGACACAAGCAGCGACGTCTGTCCACCGACGTCCGTCATCGACGTCATAACGTCAAGGAGCTTAAGGAAAAATTTGAGCCCGTGCCCGCCAGGGAGAACCCGTGTGCCGGAGGAGGACCTGGGGGAGGAGGTGGTGGCAAAAAGAGCAAACGCGCTCGTGGGGCGGCCGTCAAACGGCGACACACCGTGGGGGGGACGAAGGACCTGAGCAGGGTCGTGGCGCTGCATAAGATGCTCCAGCAGCTGCAGCATCCCAGTCAGCTGCATCAGCTGACTTCTTTACCGCAGCTGACGTTGCAGCAGCTGCTGACGGTTGGAGAGGCCAGGGAGCGGCTGGGGACCTCTTCCCCCGACCTACTGACGCTGCTCCTGCAGGGGGGTGACGAGCGCAGGCTCAAGGAACCGTGGCTGCTGCAACCCGTGCTTGAGAGCCACGTCTGACCTCGCCTTCTTATCGTTGGCTGTTCGTGGCCCTCCAATACTAACGCAGTTCAAGGGTCACATCAGTTCGTTCGACGCTGGGCATGTTGGCCTCCGACTAACATCTCTTCCTCTATCAGTGTTATCATCAGTTAATGGTATCGCCAAACAGTGTTATCATCAGTTAGTGGTGTCACCAAACAGCGTTATCATCAGTTAGTGGTATCACCAAACAGCGTTATCATCAGTTAGTGGTATCACCAAACAGTGTTATCATCAGTTTGTGGTATCACCAAATAGCGTTATCATCAGTTATTGGTATCACCAAACAGCGTTATCATCAGTTAGTGGTATCACCAAACAGTGTTATCATCAGTTAGTGGTATCGTCAAAAAGTGTTATCATCAGTTAATTGTATCACCAGTGTTATCAACAGGTGTCATGTCTTGAAGGCGTTATCTTGAATGAGCTGTGGTTTAGTGTCGTGGTAGCCCACGGACGACACGAGCCTCACCGAGAAATTCAGGGATACAAAGGTTGGCCTCTTTTCTGTGATATCCAGTGACGGAATTTACGGGAATCGGTGAATTACTGTGAGCCGACGAATTCTGTGAATAATGCATTTAGATTTAGGACGTCAACTCGAGTGACGCTTCTCAGCTTGCTTACTGCATAGCCAACACCATACCTTCTACAATACAGGAAATTATTTATTAATATTAAAATAAATGTGTGAATTCAGTGGAATTTGGGAGTTGATAAGAAGAAATAATTATTTTGAAGCATGTCTCACTATTAGCCATTCAAACGTATTGAATCTCAGGGGCGAATCTTGCTACCTGAACATTTTACCAAGTTTGAACAGCACTCGACGAATAAAACTTGAAACGAAGTGATATCATCAAGAAAAAATCCGATACGCGAAGCAGCACGCAGAGTGTCTGCGTCACCACAGATGACGTTTGACACACCATACAGTGTACGGGTTAACTGCATGCTGTACAGGGTAGACCAGGTCCAGGGCAGCGAAATTTACCGTAGCCGTGCCTCAAAACTCGTGCTTCGCGCTGTGATGCTATCGAAAACAACCGCCTGAGTCGCAATAATGCCTTCCTAAGTATAGCCATGGTGCA